CCTATCAGAACTAAAGGAGGGGTATTTAGGCCCAGTTCTCAGCCTGCTCAGTGCCCTGTCGTGGTTTCCCTTGTGGTTGTCTGAGAGCGCGTTCCTGTTTATAGTTTTCTACCTGGTTTTGACTTTGGCTTTGTTTATTGACTTCTCTATATTCTGGTATCCTGACTCCTGGCTTTCCTCATCGCTGTGTCCCTTTCTGTGTTCCCTGACCTCGGCTAGTATTTTTGACTATTCTTTGTACGTTAAATCCGGACATTCTAAGGACCGGTAATACGTTACTTATTTGTCATCCGTGCTGTACAGTTCTACGTGCTGGATCAAACAGTAATCCTGTTGACATTCTTGGGACATTCCTGGGTCATTATTCAGATTTGTATTATTTTGGAGGATGAAGCCATTACTGAAGGTACCTTGGATCCACACTTGGTACGTGAATGGGCACAAAGAGCCCAATGTTTACTGGGGAATCTAATGTGGCTATGTCCATGGAACAAAGCTAAACTGGCAGATTTGAGTTTTAAAGAACTCGGTCAGGAGGCTAACGGCCTATTGTTTGGTGATCAGTTCATGCAGGACCTCAACAGGCACGTCTCTGTGTTCACCTTGTTGAATAAAGCTCAGACCTCTCTCCGCAGAGTGTTTTGCTCAAATCGTTTTTCTGGCAAAGCAAGTCGCCATAGAGGCTGAGCTACCGGCAGATCTGCCTTCTCAGGCTAGAGACCTCGCCCAGCTGAACCTTGGAACTCAGGTTATACCCGCTACTATCACAGACAACTGTTCACCAATAGAGGATCGATCAGAGGACGTGGGTCTGCTTCTCTCCTGGGTCGCTCTGTTCAAGGTAATGCACCTACCTTATTCTCTAACACATTTTGCAGGCCATCTAACCTGTTTTTCCCATAGTGGTCTCTGCTCACTCGGGATCCTTGGATCCTTCAGACTGTTTCAGGTTTTCTCATAGACTTCACCACCAACCCCATACAAGAGTTCCCTCCTTTCCCTCTAAGGATGTCCCAACTGGACACCGCCGTACTCCATGCAGAACTCTGCAAGCTCAAAGACAAGGGATCAAACCCTCACCATCCCCTTCCAGGTTTGTCAGCAACATCTTCCTAATTCGGAAGAAGTCAAATGACTCTCGCCAGATCATCATCTTGAGAAATTTGAATCAGTTCATAGTGTATCGGCATTTCAAAATGGAAGGCATACACCTGCCCCGAGACCTGCTTTGCAAGGTAGATTGGTTCTCCCGTTTCGATTTCCCGTTTTGATTTCAGGGATGCTTACCTTACGGTGATAGTAGAACCCTCTCACCGTCGCTTCCTCTAATTCATATGGCAACAAGAGCTTTGGCAGTTCACTTGCCTCCCTTCTGGTCTCTTGTCCACTCCTTGGTGCTTCACCAAGTTAATGAAACCAGTTATGGCCTTTCTCCGATCCCAAGCTATCAGATCCATTGTCTACTTAGATGACATACTAATCGTGGCACAGGACTACCATACTCTTCGGACACATAAAGATATGACCAAATGTCTCCCACAAAACCTCGGGTTTGTAATCAATTTCGGAAAATCCACACTAGTACCATCCCAGTCCATCCTCTTCCTGGGTTTTCAGATCGACTCCGTTCTGTTGATCCTTCAACTCCTGATGTCAAAGAAAAAAGCCATCAAAAGGGACATTCGGAGACTATTGTCCTCCCATCATGTTCTCATTTGTGATTTAGCGTGAATAATAGGACTCCTGTCAGGCTATTTTCCATGGTCCCTTACATTACAGGGCGATGCAACGCCTCAAGACGTGGTCTTACGACCAGACTGTTTTCCTTACAGACGAGGTCCACCTGGAATTAGATTGGTGGCTCCAAAACATGGAAGCCTGGAATGAGAAAGCTATATTCGGGTGCCAACACCAATTTTGTCCTCGAGTCCAATTCCAGCCTCCTATGCATCAAGTCAGAATTCTCGATGCACCTCAATTGCCTTGAGCTGATGGCGGTCACCTTTGCGATTCGCAGTTTTACCAAGGATGCTTACAACTGCTCTTTGATTCTCAGAATGGACAATGTTTCCGCTGTCCGTTATGTCAATCGTCTTGGAGGCTTTCGATCGAAGCTCCTGTCGGACCTTTACGAAGGAACTCTACCAGTTCTGTCTAGGGCGGAATCTCTCTCTTCGAGCAGAATATCTGCCCGGGCCGGACAACCTTGTGGCAGACTGGTTCTCCCATTACTTGAGGGATGCCAGCGAACTGGGTGTCTTCCATCATCTGCATCAGCTTCGTGGGCCCATCACATTGGATCTGGAGCCTCCAGACTGAACTGTCAGACAGATGCCTTCTTCAGTTGGCTACCTTCATGCATCTTTGGCCATCAACGGGCCATCTTTTTGTGTTGCCCGTTGTTTGCAACGGTATGTCCATCCAGGGGTCCCCTTTATGACCGACTCCTGCCTTCCATAGATTTGGGCTCGGTCTATTTCATCGACTAAGATCGCTGGGACTTAGTCTCTGCAGCTGAAATAAGAAACATAGAATGTGACGGCAGATAAGAACCATGAATGGGACTAGTCTCTAATTTCTAAATACTTTCATTTACTGAACCAAGTGGGAAATAGCAGGCAGGCACAAAGGGTTTGCACCAGGTCTGGGGACACAGGGGACACCGTCTTAAAGGGGCCGTGTCCCCAACAAGTCTGGGGACACGGCCTTAAAGGGGCAGTGTCCCAATCTTCCTGATATCCCAAAAAAGGTGTTTAAAGGGCCAGCACCAGTCACATAAAGAGTCCATAAGCCCCAATATGCCCACCGACAGTCTTAAAGGGCCATACACACCAAATAAAGTGCATACATTTTCACAATCTCCCAGGGGCCATAGTCATGCGGGAGGAGGCTGGCAAAGAGGCTTCTCCACAACCCAGGGAAACAGGGCAATTTGCCATTTAAAGGGCCCATTACAAATAGCAGTTTGTAACAAGGTGTCAATCCATATCTGCCAAGTGACCCGATGTAGGGGGAACAGTCCCTATTCTGCTCTGTGTGTTGTGTATGAGGACAGGTGTCAATCCATATGTCAAGGTGTCAATATGTCATATTCAGGTGTCAATCCATATTTTTGTGATTTAGGAATGTTAGGTGATTTCTGCCCTTTATGGATTAAAACCAGACTCTGTATCAACGGTGTAATTTTCCATGGGAGTTTTGCCATGGATCCCCCTCCGGCATGCCACAGTCCAGGTGTTAGTCCCTTGAAACAACTTTTCCATCCCTATTGTGGCCAGAAAGAGTCCCTGTGTGTTTTAAAATTCGCCTCCCCATTGAAGTCAATGGCGTTTCGGGCGGTTCGCCGGTTCGCGAACATTTGCGGAAGTTCGCGTTCGCCGTTCGCGAACCGAAAATTTCGGGTTCGCGACATCACTATCGCCCACCCTTCATCCATTCAGTAAGGTATTCGAGGGCTTTATGTGCCTCATTCTTTTCATATTCAGGTAAGGTATTTGAGAGTTTTGTCTGCCTCATTCTTGTCGGGTTTCAATTTCCTTGTGTTACTTTTTCACTAACCCGTTTATTCATTAGATTGTATTTATACACCTATGTTTACATAAATATGTACGTAGCATATCAAGTTGTTGTTGTAAGTTTAGTTTAGTGCTAGGAGTTTGTAAGTCTACCAGTCACACCATACTTTCATGAATTTTTTTCTCTTTCTAGTGTGAAACTATGTTTGTGCTCTTCACGACATCCTTGATATGTTTCTAGTTTACACAGTTGACATCACATTCCAGCTGCATCAAGAAAGAGGAGTTGGGAGTCTCACAGCCATATATTACTGACTAGATGTATTCTGATTGGTTGTTTTTTGTTCAACCTGTTTAACTATTTCTTTACTGCTGGGAGGATTCAGTAAAGGAAGTAAAACAAATATTTGCCTCCTGTCTTTAATAAAAATTTAGATTATTTGGTCACTGACGCTCGAAAAATCCCTAATTTTCTACGGACCTTTGCTTAGTAGCATTAACACAGGGTGGTACACTACTGGGTACATGGCTATCTTCCCACATCACACCTGTGGGACTACCTTTGCTCAGGTTGGTAATTTCACATTATAGAGCAAGAAATAGAAATCAGCTGATAAATAGTGGTGATGAAGTGTTAAATCTACTTAAATTAATAATTTTGGGGTTGCATGATACCCAGTTCTACATGACTCATGGGGTTTCTGGTACAAGATGTTGATTGCTGGCTTATTTATATGAAAATAATCCATTGTGATACCCATACTGACCTTGTAGAGTGTTAATACCAGAAGGAAGGGCTGTGCTATAATCCTGAAAGGATGTTGTGTTACGCTGCCCTCTAGTGGTGATGTCAGAATACAACTCTGTAGAATCTTCTGTACGGAAGACATGTGGAAAGAAAATAACTCAAGTACCCTAACAGTTCTTTTGTTGTGTAGTTATGCATTGCTCAGCCTCTCCTAAACTGAAATCCACCCAAAATAAACCTTTACAAACCTTTGAACTAACTAGTGAATACAACTTGGAGCAAACAGTAGTATTCAATGTGTTTTTATTACCCACTCACAAATATCCATTGTTTAAAAAACAATATGTAATTTATAAATGTTAAGTGTAAATAATTATGACAAGCACATCTTTTCCAAAAAGATTGTATGAATAAAAACCTTTTAATATGAAAAATGGGAGTGAATATTTGCTTAGACGATCACTATTACTCAGAAAACAATAGTGCTCACTGACCTTGGCTATTGGATGTGGCTGGTTGAAGGGTTGCTAAATATGTATCTTGGGGTGAAGTATTATGCTGCCCTCTACTGGTAGTACTTTGGTACAAGTTTGTAGTGTTGTCTGTACGAAAGGGATTGTGAAGGAAACTGCTCAGGGTAATATCTGTACAGATTAGAGCAAGAAGTAGAAATCAGCTAACAACATAGTGGAGATGAAGTGTTAAATCTTCTTAAAAGTAGTCATAAAACATATTGTCTACTGACCTTGGCTAGTGGATGTAGCTGGTTGAAGTGTTGCAGAATATGTGGCATGGGATGAAGTATTATGCTGCCCTCTACTGGTATTACTGTGGTACAAGTCTGTAGTGTTATGCTGCCCTCTACTGGTAGTACTGTTGTAAAAGTCTGTAGTGTTATCTGCACAAAAGGGATTATGAAGAAAACACACTTCATACCTCTCAGAATTGTATGTTTTGCTGCCTTTATTAAAACAAAATAACAAGAACTTTTATTTTTCTAGCAAAAACTATATAAAATTGAGTATACAAAATACAGTAATAAAATGCCGTAAGACACAGTAGGGTGGTTTGGTAGATGGAACGAACTATGCAGCAGGCAGCTGGATAAAATGATACCATGATCATAGAACAGATGAGGGTCAGACAAATGCATGGTCAGGAATGCAAAAGGTCCAGTCAGGTGGCACAGGTTCATAAACAGTGAATAGGGCAAGGGTCAAATACCAGAGTTCAGATGCATAGCAGGAAAATAAGTTAAGACCACTATGAGCACAGTAGAACTGTGCAAAGAGGAACATGATGACTGATTTTAAATAGAGGAGAAAAGGCATGCTGCCCCACATAACTCCCATCTTACCTACACACCTGTTGTTCAGGACCACCCATGCTCCCTTTAAGAGTGCACTATTCTGGCACTCATGGGCCTAAGAAGTCAGGTCCTCCCCAAGCCCAGGCCAATTTTCCAAGCATTTCTGGAGGGGGCCGGCCTTCTTTTCCGATTCACATGCTGTAAATGGAACGTGGCAAGTGGAGGTGTGACCAGGGCTGCATAAACAAAAGTGATTTAACTCCTTAATAGCAGAGCATTGAGCAGTGAGACTGCAGGGGCATGATCTATACACTCAAACTGCTACATTAAGCTAAAGTTGCTTTGGTACCTTTAGTGTCCCTTAAAGAAATGTATGGATATTTTTAATGTATTGCAAAACCAGCATTATCACTGCCTTAATTTATCTTATGTTGCATTAAATTATTTATAATTAAAATTGCAGTCTGTTCTTTGAAAAGGGGAAAAAAACATGTAACCTGTGAAGAGGAACTAATACCATGAGTTTCCTAAAAGGTTTCAATAAATCCATATAAACCCCTAAATTAAATTTAATTTATACAGTTGTTGCTTAACTGTTTTACACAATTACATAAATTCCAGGGAACATCATGTAATAATGTATGACAATTTTTAAGCACTTGGATGAGTCACGTGTAATACAGTCCTATGTTGCTTTCTGCTGGTGATATTGCGGTATTCTATTTTTAAATCTCTGAACCTAAAACAATTTCAAGTCACTTTGTAGTTTACAAGGAGGCCTGAAATGAGAAAAAAGTGGCATCTGATAGTACATACTGTACTTATCCTACAGAGATATATGAACTCCATTGGACCAAACAATAACTTTTTTGACAACCTTACTTTATATTATTATCAGGTAGAGATAGAGTAGTGTGTTTGGGACCGGGTACACTCACGTCCCCCCTATAATGTTGGGCTATGCCGTCCATGTGATCGCGAGGTCCTCGCAAGTACCCTGTGATCACATGGCCCGGGGGGCCAAAGAGGACGGAGGCTCCCAGGTGAGTCCCCATAGCGCGATCGCCAGCGTGGGATAAGTAGAAAGGAAGGTTTGAGCGTTCTATGCCGCCCTCCGGCGTTTAGAGCCAATCCTTAAGGGGTTGAACAACAATTGGATAAATACTTGCAAAAACATAACATACAGGGATATAATTTCTCATTAGTGGGACAATAGCTGCTTGATCCAAGGAGATATCTGACTGCCATTTTGGCATCAAGAAGGAATTTGTTCCTAGTTTGTTGCAAAATTGGAAGCGCTTTAGACTGGGTTTTTTGCCTTCTTTTGGATCAACAGCAATAACATATGTGAGGAAGGCTGAACTTGATGGACGCAAGTCTCTTTTCAACTATGTAACTATGTAACTATGTAATATGTAATTCCAATTAACGTGCGCCAGTCACTTCCCTGTCACTAGTAACATGCAACACTGGTGAGACCTCACTTGGAGTATTGTACTGGAAATCGTATCTTCAGAAGGATATTGATACTTTGGAAAGAGTTTACAGAAGGACTAATAAACTGGTTCATGGATTGCAGGATAAAATTTACCAGGCTAATTTACCAGGAAAGATGAAAGGGTCTTAACATGTATAGCTTGGAGAACAGACGAGACAGTGGAGATATGATAGAAACATTTAAATACATAAAGGGAATCAACACAGTAAAGAAGGAGACTACATTTAAAGGAAGAAAAACTACCACAGGGACAAAGGTTCAAAAATAATATCAGTGAGTATTACTTTTACTGAGAGGGTAGTGGATGCATGGAATAGGCTTCCAGCTGAAGTGGTAGAGGTTAACACAGTAAAGGAGTTTAAGCATGCGTGGGATAGGCATAAGGCTATCCTAACTATAAGATAAGGACTAATGAAAGTATTTAGCCCACACTCGCTATGGAGGTAATTTTGTTTTATGTTTTTTGCATGGAGGAGATTTCAGGCTTTGCTTATGCTAATATGGAGGTAATTTTGTTTTATGTTTTTTTAATGATTAGCTTGGTTAGTCATTAAAAATGGATGACAAATGTGCATTGTTTAGTTTAAGTTGGGTTTGGTTGCTAGAATTTCAGCTGGCATTGAATCCACTCAAAATCCTTCCCCCCCCCAAAATCTCATGAAACCAGTTGATAATGTTCAACTTGGGTTTGACAATAGTATTGGATTCAACCCTTGGTATTTTCACAAATTATTTTAATGAATTAATAGTTACGTGTTATAAGCATCAATTAAGCTGTTTCCACATTGAATACAATTTTATCTATTAGTCAGATACTTAAATTTTTTTTTTATTAAACATCATTTTACAAATGCTCAGAACAAATGGAGATCATTTACATTGTCTTTGGTTCAAAGGTAGGTTTAAAATATTTAATTTAATGTTAATAACCCCTTAAAGACAAAATGTAACAATATACTCCTTTTCTATGACTTTTAGCTGCTTTATGTAGCCCTACATTTGTTAAATGAGTGGGACATTCCATTTTGAAATAGGATTAGTTTTCTTTTAAATGACTGTCATGCCAAAGGTTCATTGTTGCACTATAAAATATTACTATTTAATGTAATTTGTGTAGGGCATACATGAATTGGCCGCTTGGTAGAGGACATATGTCAGAAAGAGTTAATGTAAATTATATAGGAATGTGATAGAGGTCAGATGGTTTCCAATATGTATTGCTCTTTTGATCAACCAAGGCTGCTGCAAGGTGTGACATGTTTTACATCAGTTGTCTGTAAGTCTAGTTTCAATGTAAACTAACTGACTTCGACCATACGGATTGTAATTCCTCATAGATAGTGGATGCTTTAATATGTTAATGACCATTAGCATTCAAGATAACCCTTGTGTCCCAGTATCATATCCAAAACAAACATCAATCCTAACTCACAGATGAGTTATTGTGGATCATTTTGTGCATATTTAGAATGATGAAAACAAATCCTTCGTATAGAATGTAAACGTCGTTTGGAAGGAATTGCGAAGTCCGTAATATTAGGTCACAATTAAGAAGTATATCAAAAGAGAAAAAAGGGTTGCACTCAATCATAAAAATCACAGGGTGCTAACTGAGTATGGGTCAGCAGAGACCCCCTGGACAGAAAGACACTTTTACTTTTATAACATAAGTGAGTGAGTAATTAGGATTTCTGTTAAATTATCCTTTTTGTTTTTTTATCTGTTGTTAGTGTAAATAATTTATTGTCATCGATTTTTGTATGCACTGTGACTGTTTTTGTTCATAATAACTATTCTTTTATTAAGTTTTGCCTTTCTCTGGTAAAGAATCACATTACCCTAAGAAACCAATGAATTACTGTTTTGCAATTGCATAGATATTGTGCTAAATTGTATTTGGTGTTTTCTTTTATTCTAATTTACCTGGGGGGCCAAGGCACCCCATTTATAAATTGTCTTGGTGGTAACAGAGTTAAAGGATCACTATAGGTTCAGGAACAAAAACATGTATTCCTGACCATATAGTGTTAACACCACCATCTAGCCCCCCCCCCGGGCCCCTCATGACTCCATAAATATAGTAAAAATCTTACTGTATTCAAGCCAGAAGATGTAAATCTGCATGCTGTTAGACTCAGAAAAACAAGCAGTCTGCTGACATGTGGTAGCCTGATCCAATCACAGTGCTTCCCCATAGAATTGTCTGAGACTGACAAAGAGGCAGATCAGGGGCAGAGCCAGCATGATTCAAACACAGCCCTAGCCAATCAGCATCTCCTCATAGAGATGAATTGAATCAATGAATCTCTATGAGGAAAGTTCAGTGTTTGCATGCAGAGGGAGGAGATACTTAATCACAGGATGCTGTGCACAGTGCTGCCCTGTGCTCTGCTGACAGCAGATCTGAGAGGATGGAGGCATATTATGCCTCCATCAACTCCGAAGTCCCTCTGGTTCACTCTGAGTGACTGCAACTGGAGGTGTTTCTAGCTTTCAATGTAAACACTGTATTTTCTAAGAAAATACAGTGTTTACATGAGAAAGGCTGCAGGGAGCTATAGTTCTCACCTGAACAACCTCATTAAGCTGAAGTTGTTCAGGTGTCTATAGTGTCCCTTTAAAATAGTAATATTTATATATTATAATGAAGTGTGGGTGGTGTTAAGGGGGATTTTTTCATTATTTCAAGTTTAGTGCAGACTAATAGTGGTGACTTTAACCCTGTCTAAGGGTCAATCACACTCTTGAAGTAGACTGCTTTTATGACAATAGTTCTGAGGGCATAGACTGTTTTTAGTTCTTAAATTGATGAGGGGGTTCTGTTAACCTGGGTGAACAATCTACGAGTAATACAGGATTTTAATTTGGCTAGTCACAAAGTAAACACTGTTTCTTCAGAAAACACGTCGTGAAGCTTTGAAATCTCGAAGCACATTGTAAAAATGATATTCGAAGCATTGGGACAGCTAAAAAGAGATGGTTGTATGGAAAGCTTACCTTGAATAATCAGCTCCACAGAGAATGATTGTTCTCTGTGTCCATCAGTAATGCCACACCAATAAAATCCAGCATCTCTCAACCGTAACTGATTCATGAGGATGTGGTAGCTTCTTTGGGTCTGGTTGGAAGCCTCGAGAATTACTCTATTTTTCAGCTGATGTTGAACAAATCCACATGAGTCTATCAGGTGCACACAACCTTTCTCATTCCACTTGCACCAATATATCATAGAAGTCGGACTAAAATGTCCTGGAATTAAACATTCAGCTGACACCGACCCACCCACAAAACCACTCAGTCTTTTGGAGATCCTTGTTGGTGCTAAAAAATCTGAAATGAAAAATAAAATAAAAATAAAATACATCAGTCAGGATATTAGTTCTAAAAATGCCCTTCTGTCCCTAGATTTATTCAAAAAGTGTTATTCACCAATGTGTGAATTTTATGAAGTAAATTTCTAATTGTTGTCCAAAATGGAGAGATGAATTGAACTTTTCCTACGTAACAGAAATTTAAACTTCACGGTGCCTTTGAATTCTTGACAGTTAAAAAAAGGGCAGACATTCAAAGAAAAGGCAGTGTTTACGTTACTGCCTAGTAATACTTCTAGTGGCACTGTCTAAGACCACCACTATTGGAGCTTCTTATTTCACTGTGTGCATCACTTATCCTCAGCTGAATGCTCTCCATACAGATGGTGAATGCTGTCCATACAGATGCATTGATTGAATGCACCTCTATGAGGAGATTCCGAGTGGCGCATCGTGGCGTTTTTGCTGCGCATGTGCAATAGCCTCCTAATGCATTCCTAAGGGAAAGCATTGAATTGGCTGAGATCATGACTGATGTTCTCAGCCATCGAGGTGAAGTCGGCCATGGCAAGACTGCACAGAGATGAGGAAAATATATGTTTAAACAACTTTTAACTCTACTCTGAGGGGATCTGGAGACCTAAACTGCCACTATAGTGTTAGGAAAACATGTTTGTACTCCTAACACTATAGTGTTCCTTTCAGGGAGGGGTGTTTTGTTAGCTGTTCCTGGCTGAATATGAAGCTAAGAGAATGTGGTGTTACATACAGACATTGGGGGAGGAACCTAATCTGGGGGCGGGGGGACATACACTATTTACTCCTAAACCAGATATGTATGAGGGGGATTATATATGCTTGAAAGATACTTGAACCAAGTTAGTTAAAGGGACACTATAGTCACCAGAACAACTACAGCATATTGTATTTGTTTTAATGGGTATAATCATTCCCTTCAGGCTTTTTGCAGTAAACACAGTTTTTCAGAGAAAAGGCAGTGTTTACATTACAGCCTAGGGATATCTCCAGTGGCCACTCCTCATATGGCTACTAGAGGTACTTCTTGAAGCAGTGCTGGAAATGGCAGTGTTGGAAATGTCACCCTCTGAATGGAGACACTGAGCATTACTCATAGAGATGCATTGATTCAATGCATTTCTATGAGGAGATGCTGATTGGCCAGAGTTGTGTTTGGCTTATGCGGTCTCTGACCCTGAACTGCCTCATTGACAAGCTCAGCCAATCAAATGCTTTCCTATGTGCTATGCAAAGAATCACACCTTTATATTATTGTTTAATAGCAAAACTATAGCATAATGCACATGTATCTCAATGGTTTTTATCACACTTACTATTGTCTACATAAATATGAACATCCGTCCAGTCAGATCCCTCTTCAAATGACCCAGTACCACAACGGTACAATGCAGAGTCTTTGATCCTAAGGCCATTGAGCAAGACAACAACTCCTGTTTTATTCTGGTCATCCTTCATCAAAACACGTCCCCAGAAGTCCTGGTGTACAAATCCATTACTATTTACCACGGTGACACAGTCAGTTTTCCGACTCATTTTACACCAGTACTTCACACTGGTGCTTGCTCCTTGTCTTATGGGACAATGAATGGCGAGAGACCCTCCTAATGCTTCAATAAAGAATTTAGAAGAAGAGGGAATCTTATTTCCTGTGGAGACAGAACACGCTTAACTGAGGGAGATTTCAATTACTGTTTAAATATTTATAGTTTAAGGGTTTTGTTATACTTTTACAACTCAATTTAATTCTATCTGCCGATAACAAAAAATGATCAGCTGTTTTGGGGCTATATTTGAGCAGAGCTCCGGATGAATCTAATGACAGCATATTTGAAAACCCAGAGCTTTAGTTGGTTTGAGAGGTTTAACCTTGTGTGTAGCCTTGACATATTTAGTTATGTATTAGCAGAAGACAAGGGGAGGAGAGTGTTAAACAAAGGCTAAAATGTACATTAAATGTCTGATTCCTATGCTTGATATTAGTTCGTAGTAGGCAGATAACTGATTTGTTAAATGCTTGTGAACAAATGATATAGAATCAGTCTGACTTGGCTTTGGTAATTCTGTGAATTGCCAATGTGGTCAGAATTTGGTCTTTTTCACCAGATTTTGTCCATTCAGACCAAATATGTTTTTGGTTAATGACCCTAATAATGTCTAATATCTGCACCAGATATGCATGAGAGTGTTTATGTTTAAGAATGGTATTTTTAAATAAGTCAGGATTTAAATGACTGTAAAGATTGCCATTATCATTATGGACTTTAAGATTTTAAATCGGCATGGTTCATCTGCCTAATTAATTAACACCATCATAATCCAGATAACAATTCTTTCATTTTGTCTTTTTATAAGTTACCAAAAAAGCAATTTTTTTAAACAAACGTAAGAATTAAAACTTAAACGATACGTTGATGTTTGTGAATAGTGATGTCCCGAACTGTTCGCCGAACGGTTCGCGAACTGTTCGCCACGGTTCACCATGAACGGTTCGCCGCGAACTCGAGTCAGCTGACACATTCCAGCCAATCAGCAGCAGACCCTCCCTCCCAGACCCTCCCACCTCCTGGACAGCATCTATTTTGAAGCTGCATTCTTAGTGAGCTGTCCAGGAGGTGGGAGGGTCTGGGAGGGAGGGTCTGCTGCTGATTGGCTGGAATGTGTCAGCTGACTGGAGTCCGCGCGAACCGTTCGAGGCGAACCGTTCCGCAAACGTTCGGGACATCATTATTTGTGAACACTTCTGTTGCCAGTTGTGGAAACTTAGAAATACAAATTTAAAATACATTGAGAATTAATTAAAATGAAAAATCTATATTTTTCATTTACAAACACATTTTATGTTTTTGTTTTTTCAGAATGACATTAAATATCAAAACATGTTTGTTTTACCTTCAGAAATAACCACATTAACTGGGAAATAATGTATGTTATTATGGGAACCAATGCCACATCTATACAACCCCACATCTTCATGTTGTAACTTTGTCATTTCCACCATGAAGCTACGTGTGGAAACATCTAGATAAGTCCTGTTATAGTGGTCTTCTGAGACATAACCAGTAGTAGATATGATGGTGTAGCATCCTCTTCTGGTAACCTTGCACCAAAACTTCCTCCCATGGATATTGGCAGAGATGGCACTGTAGTAACAAGATACTGTTAAAGAACCTCCGAGTGTTCCTGTCACCTCTCGAGGTCCAACAAGATATCCAGTAGCAACTGTAGGATGATGTTAAATTAGAAATTTAATCTGCAGCATAACATTAAATAATAATATAATTTCCATTAAAACAACTGAATTTGAAAGCTTTCAATTATGTATTATTTTCTTTATAGTTTATTTTTCTCAAAATTGAATGACCATGCTAATTTTTAGTAGACATCTCCATTGTACATCTTTTCTTCGGTACCTGTTTGGCAAATCTGTATAATGATACACATTCCATGATATAGAGTTTTTTTAAGCATTCTGTGTTCTAATCCCATCAATGCTTCCACCTATTGTACTTGAAAATAAGAAAAGAAAGGACTGGATGGAATCCAGCATAAAGGATGGAACTACAAATCTTTTATAAATTTTGCAGTTCCCCGGTTGAGTCCAATTATCCAAATATATTTGTTACTCCAAACTAAGCCTAATTTAAGTCTACCTTAACTATTTTTGAATTTATGGTTTTGTTTACTTATTTACTCTCCCCATGTTTTAGTTTTCATAATGTTTAACAATGCTAGACACCTGCTCACGTATTATTATCATTATTATTATTATCCATCAAGCACAGTTACCCCTTCTTGCCAATCAAACTTCTTGAATTTCCAAAGCAATGAATTCAGCTACCATCTTTCTTTGCTGATATATTTGTTATACTGTATAGTTGTAACATTCGAACAAACCTCTCACTTTTTTATGAACGATTCCCTTTTGATTTCCACTCCATGCTGAATTTTAATTGCACTTTGTATCTTAATTGCTTTTTATATCTGCTGTTCTCCAAAAGCACAGCAGAACAACCTTTGTTTAGATACAAACCAGCATAACTAAAAGATTGTATTCACATTCAAATACTGCCTACTCCTCAAAGCCAAACCCAGATTCTTCTCATTACACCAAGATTGCCCTCTGAATTTTCTCTGCAGTGTATGGCACACATAATACTACACTGTGGCCATATGACCCTGGCATCTCTGTTACCAAAGACACAAAAGTTCAGTCATGCTATTGTCCATGGGTTTCTTTTTACATAGCCTGTACAACGTAACTGCTAGGACTCAGCTTTGGCTGCGTATGCAGGATATACTGCATTGGTGTCAGGTTGACATTCTATCTATCTAGTCCTGTGGCAATACTCTTATCAGTAGTTAATTTATGGAGGACAATGAATAGCAATATCCTATTAGACCTCAAGGAAGTGACAAACCAACTTCTTTCTTGATACAATAAAAATAAACAAATACCAGTATATACACCTCCCCAATGTGATCACAACAAAAAATGAGTAATATTACCAATATAGAACTTGACTGTAATGTAAACAGCGTAGAACTTGATTGGGGTATAAACTAAAATAGAAGAAAATAAGACAACAACATAGTGCAAACTGTATGATGATAAATGAGTAATAGATAAGTGTATGACTCACACTCACATTCTCCAGAGCCGTGCCAGGCTCTGTAAGACAGGCTCAGGGGTGCCAATAACTGGCTAACGATCCAGGTGATCCAAATAGATGAGACTCCAAAAATTAAATGCAAAATATATTTATTGAATAAAAATATATAAAAGTGTATACACTACTGGGCGCTATGGGGGTGGAACCCAAAACAGACAATGATATATATAAAGCAAAATTGGAATTCCACTTACCCCTATCTGTATAGTAGCCCAGAGTGTCAAAAATACACATAAAATAGCAAATAACAAATGCAGAAGATTGAAGCAGACACGTTTCGGCTAACAGCCTTCCTCCAGTGCTTGTCTTCATGTCCTATTGGGTCTTCTTTTATAAGTCCTATCAGTCCCATTCACCTGGATGCAATTTCAATTTCTTTTTATTGTATTATGTAAATCTGGTGCACAAGGGAAGCACTAGGGTACCGGTTACACCATTTATTTTATATTTTCACCATATACAGAACTGTCACAATTTCAGTGAAGCGCCTACGCACTTTTTTTCTTTTTTTCTGTCAACTTCTTTCTTGGCAACTCAAAAGAACTCAGACTCTTTAACTCTTTATTGTAACACCAGCAAGCATACATAGATCACAGCATACAATAAATTAGCCAATGGGAAAACTGGGCAAAAAAACACACAGGAAAGAAATGGCTACAAAGTGATTCATTGCACTTGTCCCCCTCCTTCCCTCTACACTTCCTCCCTAAAAACAAAAGATTATCTTGATTGGACCCACTGTGTCCCTTCAGAGCTATCTATGGTTACATCAACACAGCCCTTTACTATAGTAGATAATATGTAGACTTGCTAGGTCCCACAGCAGATGGTCACCAACAGTATATCATTTAACTTGATTAACCCACAAAATACATTTCACACCTGACTATACTTTATGCATAGAGAGCTGCTGTCCCTCCCCCTCTGTTGACCCAACTGCTCTGTGTATAATACAGGTACACAATACAGAGATGTCTGTAATACAGAGATGCCTACATCTATCCAACCCCGCATCTTCATGTTCACAAATCAGGGGGATCAGGCCATTCATCACATATACAATGCATCCACCTTACTCTTTGTCAATGACTTCGTCAATAGGGCCATGATGACAGCTGTATCATCTAGAGCCCATTGTAATAGTTTGTGTAGAAACATAGAATGTGACGGCAGAAAAGAACCATTCGGCCCATCTAGTCTGCCCAATTTTCTAAATACTTTCATTAGTCCCTGGATTTATCTTATAGTTAGGATAGCCTTATGCCTATCCCACACATGCTTAAACTCCTTTACTGTGTTAACCTCTACCACTTCAGCTGGAAGGCTATTCCATGCATCCACTACCCTCTCAGTAAAGTAATACTTCATGATATTATTTTTAAACCTCTGCCCCTCTAATTTAAAGGACCACTCTAGGCACCCAGACCACTTCAGCTTAATGAAGTGGTCTGGGTGCCTGGTACAGCTAGGGTTAACCCATTTTTTCATAAACATAGCAATTTCAGAGAAACTGCTATGTTTATGAATGGGTTAAGCCTTCCCCTATTTCCTCTAGTGGCTGTCTCATTGACAGCCACTAGGGGCGCTTGCGTGCTTCTCACTGTGAAAATCACAGTGAGAGCACGCCAGTGTCCATAGGAAAGCATTGTAAATGCTTTCCTATGTGACCGGCTGAATGCGCGCGCAGCTCTTGCCGCGCGTGCGCATTCAGCCGACGGGGAGGAGAGGAGGAGAGGAGGAGGATCGGAGGAGGAGAGCTCTCCGCCCAGCGCTGGAAAAAGGTAATATTTAACCCCTTTCCCCTTTCCAGAGCCGGGCGGGAGGGGGACCCTGAGGATGGGGGCACCCTCAGGGCACTATAGT